GCGGCCGGGAACGGCGGCCTACTTACCCGAAGACTAACCGAAAGCCTGGGATCCCCGAATACATGGTAAGTATGCTTCGGGCTTTTGTTTGACTCAAATGCTTAAATTGCCAAAGGATGCCACGGGATGGAATTCTATCTGAAGAACAGAAGTCAGTGGTTCAGAATATTCATTCTCGAGCTGAACTCCCTTCAAGAAGTCTCAGGAATGAAAAAAGGTGAAGCATACGTTCAGTTCGAGTGCCATTGGTATTCCCGCAAAACCTGACTTTTCAATGACTCTTGGAGTGTTGAAATGGTTGCGCCTGTGCGGGGATTGTCTTTTGCAACGTTGCGTGTTGTTTCGCTGCGTGTTGTTTTGCTGCGCAGGCGCCGTGTTTTGGAAGGTTGTGTTTTTTGAACTGCTGTGTTATCGTGAGTTGCGTTTCATGGGTAGAATGTGTGTCCCTGATCGGTTATGTGGTGGCTGTAAGGGTGACTGCCAAGGCCACTTGTTCAAGTGAGTGCTGGGTGGGTGGGCGATGGGCAAATGGTGGGCCGGAAGCGTTTGTGCCCATGCTTGGAAAATAAATGTTCTGAACCACTGCCTTCTGTTCTTCCATCCCGTGGCATCCTTTGGCAGGATATCTAAGCATTTGCTTTTGGCAGATGCTGCAAAGCCAGAAAAACCCTGACCCCAATTGGCTTGGCAAATGGCACCAATAGCATGGCGGGTATTTTGGGTGTGTCAACACTGGCGGATCTTTTCACGTCCAAGGCTCCTCCCGCGAGATCTTCCACGCTGAGCGTCCCATCCGCATCCCGGTCCAACTTCAAGAACGCGCCTCGTCTGCAGCGGCTGTGGCACCGTGCTTTGGACCACTTGACCAGACTTAGACTGCGAAGAGATGGGGTCTGGTTGAAAGTTGGGTTCGAAAGGGTCCACGTTCAGATCGGAACCCCAGGTGTCCAGAAAGGAATACGGGAAGTGACATCCGTAGAATCAGTGGACATTTTCCGAACCGCACAGCCCATGGTTCCATTTTCACAATCACCTTCCAATAAAGCACGTCGGCTCCCCTCCGCAAGTCTGAGCAAGGGTGGTTTGGAGCCTGGTGGTTGGGTGGTCTGCGGGTTTTCGGTTTGACTATCTGCGGTTCCGATCTCCAATGCAAACCATCAACTGACATATGGTGGTTGGTCATCGAGCCCCATGTAAATGATATCCACACAGAACCAATTAAAAGGAAGCACAACGGCCAATCGGCCACGCAGGTGAGAGATTGACAATACCACTAACTGGCTGTTCAGCCCGGGTTCTCCACAGCTTTTGTGCAGAGAGTGAGCTTGTTGCAACAACAACAACTGCGAAGACGAGTTATTTCTTTGCCCAACTCTTACGTGAGCGGATCCGAATGGAAGCATTGACTTGTGACTCGCACTCACCCAAGCCCTGTTTGTGTGAACAAGTGGGAAGGTTGGTAGAGATAATTTACATTTATTTCGCTAGTTGAGGTTGATGTAGGGCTATTCTGCTCATAGAGCTAATCCAATTTCGCAATCCTTCTTCAAAGCTGCAAAAGTTCGTATTTTCAGATTCGGTTCTATATTTATCCAACTTCTATGTAGATAATATATGTATATATATATATATATATATTCATACATGTGTGCACTTATTATGACATCTCAAAGGAGACCACAGTAAATGACTGCCGACTGCTGACCTCCCGGCCACAGCCCACCAACCTGGTTCAACCTTTATTTTTGCCATGTCAAAGCTTGGTCTCTCTATCTCTCTCTCAGTTGCCCAAAGCACCCAGACATCAAAGGTTGACCTTTTAAACCGAGCCTTCAAAACAGACAACATTTCAGCCCTGGACCAAAACCAAATAGCTCCCCCCATGGCCTCTCAACAGTCGGGGGACCCCACACGACGCGCTTCCTTCGGCGCGTCCCACGCCTCTCAAAGGCGCCTGCAGCCGTTCCGGCAGCTCCCGCGCCACCAGGCGCAGCAAGGCCTGGCAGTCGATCCGGCGCGCGCTCGGTCCGGAACGCAGCTTTTCTCTTCTTGGTGGTTGGGAGAACTCAGCTCGGCTTGCAAGTTGCTTGGGTACTCAGGTAACCCGTAGTTGGTGGTTTGGAGCCCAAACCACCAACTAAGGGTTACCTGAGTAACCAAGCAACTTGGCACCAGAAAACAAACAAGAACCGCTTCCAGTTGCGAAAGCAAAAAAAATGGAAACATGAGCAGCTATTTTCCGGTGGTGAAATCGATTCCCTCAAAACGAAGGAGGAAAATAGCTCAGTTGCCCAACCGATGTAAAAGGTGAAAAGGTCAAAAGGTCGGCACTGGGCAAGCCGAGCATTTGAATGGGTCTTTTTCTTGAGGGCACCCTGTCTGGGCTGGTTTGGAGGAAAATCAATGGGAAATGAGACAATCGCCCAAATCTTTACTAGCATCATCAAACTAATTTTCCCAAAAGTACAAAGTTCAGGAACTCAGGAAGTGAGGCAAAGGGGAAGGGTATAAAATGGAACCAAATGTGGACCGAGGAAACCAGTTCGCCCAAGACCCAAAGGAGTTTGGCGCCTGTTTAAAACAAAAACAACTAAAGAGCGAACCTCCCCAAGAATCATTGGACCCTCAAATGGAGGGATCAGGACCTCCCCCTATTGAAGCAAGAAACGTAGGGTCAGGGTAGAAACCTCCGAAAGAGGGACTTTCACTCAATGTATCTGACATAAGAAACAACGGAATTTGGAGGAAACTAATACCCACCAAAACTTGGTTGCTGTTGACCCCTCTGCGAAAAAAAGTTTAAGTTGTGGGTCCAGTCCATCATTTCCCAAAACAGTTCAAGTCCAATTATCCGACCAAAAAGCCATAAAGAAAACCACCGGGATGTCTAATTTCCTATGTTCGCTGGCTGTGCTTTGCCTGCGATGCTGGCTGCGAAACCTGCAGACCATGTTCAAATGTCCCATGAAGATGATCAAGATGTTGGTCATAGGCTTTTACAGGGGCCCAAGTTCTCAATTTTCATGGGAAGCAGGGGGGTGTAAAAAAGGATGAGTTGGTGCTAACACCATTCTCCAAACCCCAGCATCTCACCCGGCCGTTTTCCTCCCTCATCCGCAAATAGCCCATGTGGCAGGAAAACCTGGCCACAGGTGTTGCCTTCTTCAAATCAACTTCTGTCCATGTCCCACCAGCGTGGCTCGATGGGTCAAAATCACCTCGCAAAGTGCTTGGTTTCTCTTTAGCCTCCCCAAATACGATCCACCCACACAACACTGCAGCAACGCCAAAGCAAGCAGCGGCGCTTTTCTTCGAAATTCTCCGAGGTTGCCTGCGCGCGAGTTGCGCCGAGTCAGCTCTCCGCCCTTGCCACAAGCTGAGCAAATCGATCCTTTTGGACAACTCGATGGCACCTGTATCATGGGGGCTGGGGGGGAGGGAGGAAGGGAGGGAGGGGGAAAGAGCCCAAATGGCCTCACTAAGCCTTTTAACAGGTGGGCTCCCTCCCCTCCCCCATGACTGTAAATTCAACGCAAGCTAAAACCAGTGCTCCTCCAAGGAGTGCCCTTAAAAAGGTTGTTTTGGCCATCGTTTCTCCATTCCAAACGGCTCCCACATTTGGCCGGGTTGCTGCCCACTCCAGAACTACTAGATCAACATATTCTTGGTTGCTGTTGACCCCTCCGCAAAAGTTTAACTTTTTGTGGGTCCAATGAAGAATATTCTGCTTCCCAAAAAGTTAAAGTCCAAAGATTCGCAACCGAAGTGTCAAAAAGTCCTTCGGTGGATCATCACGCTTCAGAGTCCCCGGCGATCACTTACTCCAAGTAACCGGGGTGTTTTGACCATGGCGACAAGGGCCCTAAGGGGGGGGTGCTTCTTGAATTTCCCTTCAAACACTGAACAACGGGGATCTACCATTTTGAGAAACACTCAGAAGAGCCACATTGCGTAGGCCTGCTATGTCCTCTCCAAATGGACAACAAACCTTGATTTGCTCAAGTCCCCTGGAAAAACTAACAATATGTCCAGCAGTCCAGCAGTGATAAAATCCCTTTAAAACCAACAGGGAAAACAACAAAAACAACATGTTCACTTCACAAATGGAAGCAAACTTCATATTTCTTGAGGCGCGGGACAAATGCTGGAGGCGAGGACATGCGAGGACTGGAGGTAGTTGGAAGAATGAGACAAATCCCGCTGTGCCCCAAAACAAGTAAATAAGTGGCATCGAAATCTTTGAGTCTCAGTTCCGAAACTTGTTGTGTACAAATACACGGAAACTGGGGACACATGATCTTTATCACCGAAAACAGTCGCCTGTCCCCATGACTGTTGTGGGAAGCCTGTTTCGGTGACACTGATGCGGTTGATTCAAATCCCGGTCACTTTCATCCATACGTCTAGCGAACACGTCGCGGCGAGATGTCAGAGCCTGACCCTTGGGCCCGAAGCAAGAGACAGGAGCGCGCGCCCGAGGCGGGCTGCGAGCAAAAGCGATCTGAGAAAGTCCTAAAATTAGGGACCCCCTTCTTAGCACCTACTGTGGATGGACGAAATCCTGCACCACTTTGAAACCATGGGAAGCCGTTGTTTGTGGGTATTTACAGGTGAATCATCATACCAGGGTTCCTTAGATGGTGCAGGATTTCGTCCATCCACAGTAGGAGAACCAAAAAGCACCTAGGGCCATCTTGCTATATTGCGATGCTGGATGCTAGGGGGTCCCCCTATTGAAAAGGACGCAACCCATCTAGGGTCCTACAAAAGACGCACCAGCCTGCTAAATACAATCAGGAACAACCCAATGACCGTGCAACTCCGGTCATCGTCTTCCAACACATCATGCATATATACCTGCACCCGCCAACGACAGAGTTTGTTCCATGCCCAAAATCTCAAGTAATGTCCAAGACACATCCCTTAAGAAGATGAACATGCGACAAACAAAAAAAAAACATCGAGGTGCTGATTGCCAATTCCGCATTCGTCATAAAGTGACGGCATCGCGTGTAGGACCCCAGTGCCCTAGTGACCAGGAGCTGCGCACACGAACCGAAGCGAGTGTGCCACCAACTCCTAGCTGGAGATACATTCTTGAGTCCAAGCTTTGAGGGCTATATTCAATCATTGCCAGTCTGGTGTGGGCTGACATGTGGCTTTGGAAGTTGGAAGCACCTTGCTCGAAATCTTGTCTTGATGCCTTTTCGAAACTTGGCTGTCCTCAGACCCCCTGCAAAAAGTCTGAATTATAACTTTTAGTGGGTTAAATGGAAAAGAAAGCGACTAAACCAGCTAAAACCGCAAAATTAAAGGAATCGGATGGCTGGGGACCACCAAGAAAATCATCCAAGAAGTCTCCTTGACTTCAAACACCTTTGTTTTTTCAACGACGGGGCTAAGGCGTTCACCACCCCAAGTTACCAGCAAAAAACGGTCGAGCATGGTCGAGCCCTGGCTTGGCGACGCCTTCAGATCGGTTGTCACATTTCAAATCCGCCAGGGTCTCCTCAACTTTGGCCTGGGTGTGAATCCTTGCCATCTGCCCTCCTATGGGTTCCTTTCGGCTTCCCTAAAAATACCCAAGGATGGCTAAAATCCGTTTTGAGAAACTCTCCGTATTTCAATGGCGGACATCTTTTAGGGGTTGACCAGCCCAGCGCAAGGCACTTGGCCGTCCGCGCGCGTCAAATCCGCGGGCTCCCGCCTTAGACGTCCGCCCAGGTTGGGAGCTTTGGCAACACTTACAAGAACCAAGACTCTTCGAACCAATTCTCTTCCTGGCTTCTGGTTGCCCCTTACACAACGAAAGTGTGCGGGGTTTATTTTTCGACCCACATTGGACATGGGGTTCCCTTCCTAAAGAAATTGGGGTTATATTTAACCCATGGTTCTTGTTTAACCTGCACAAGTGCAGAAATCACCATACTAAATATCGTCTTCAAGTTGACCTCATGTTGCTTCCGGAATGTTTGAACATCCAGGAGCTTCAGGAGTGAGAACCAGTCAGAGCGTCAGACCCCTCTGAACTGAAGATCTGTGGATGAACTGTCGGGATATGGCTGTGGCTCAAAAAACCGGTACCAAAATGGAACCCTGGTAAATGGAAACATGGACCAAAACCTGCGTAACCCCTCCTGTTTAATTTTGAGCCACACCCATATGGATCATGAAAATGCTGCCAAGAGGAAGTTGTGATTTCTCTCTCTACTGCAGACCATTTTTCACCGGATTTCCACGGGAGGGGGCGGGGAGGTGGGTGTTTGGCCAGTCAGCCACAGCATGAGGAATCAAGCAGAAGGATGCACCACCACCCGACATCTACAGAAGACCAACCTCTGGAGCGCCCCCCCCCAAAAAAAAACAAGAGAGAGACTGAAATGCCATTTGTGGAGACTAACCATCCTCGTGCTGTCCATCAAACACAATCAAAGACAGTGTGCTGATGGTCATTATCGCAGCAGGAGCCTTGGTTGTCAAACATGCTACGGAAGTAAATATTGGGTTTGATAAGCCTCTTCTGGAGAGGCTTGTTCTCAAAAAGACCCACACGGGTTGTGGAAACTCGCCATAGCAAAGTGGGATGCCTGTGCCCATGACTGGTCTCTCACGAAGGGGATTACCCTTGGTACAAAAAGTGGCAACCTAAAGCTCCAGACAACCTTCCATTTGCTTCTTAAGTCCCCTGAAAAAAAAACAAAAAACGGAACCTGTTTTTCGGCAGTGAAATCGCTTCCCTTCAAAACCAGGGAACATCACCACGTCCTCTGAAACCCAAAAAGACGCAGCGCGGCTCGGGTCGTTCCTCTCAGCCCAGAAGCGTAGGGGGCTCGAGGGGAAGTTCGGGGAAGCCTCGGTGGGGAGTCACCGAAGGCTTCGGGGGCTGTCTCAAAAAACCTGGCGGGATCTGGCGGGGTTCCGGCTTTGCGTGTTTTGGAGTTGGCCCTTATTTCGCGGCTCTTCTGGAGGAAACAAAAGGAAAGGAAAGCTTTTGCTTGGGGGGGAACCTCTATTTTGCGCCATACCAAAATCAGATCCTTTTGGCCGGCTTTTTTGGGTGACGCGCTAAGACAGGGCACTAGGGGCTGTCTGAGAATCAGCTCCTTTCTGAAGGACTGTCGTGCTTGAAGGGTACTGTCCTAGTGGGTGTTTTAATTGGAAGCTGACAGCTTTTTTTGGAGACGGCCCTTTTGGGAATCACTAGAATGACTAACAAAACCAGGAAGCCAACCATGGGCCTTTCTCGTCTTCCAATTTGTCATGAGGATGGCCAGGGCGATGTTTTGCTTTTTGTGGGTTGGCAAGCCAGGAAAAGGCTGGATGAACATCGGAAGATCTGCAAGCCCAACTCTGCACCACTAGGCCTTTTGCTGGAACTCCATGTTTGAAGTGCCTGGATGCTCCAAAATTCAGATTTGCCAGTCCTTGGTCGATCTTCCGAATCTATACTCGCGGTGAACAATCACACTTCCAAGCACTGCGCAACGCGCCTGTCCCAGCGTTGCCAAGGGTCTCTGACACACATGCACACCAATGCAAATGATTGGTTCTATCCTAATCTTTTGGGCTCAAAGCTCGCAATCCTTCGGACGCAGTTGCCTTGCAAGTTGAGGGGCTACATTCCCTCCGGGTTCTTGTCAGCCAGCACTGGCCTACCTTCCCAAGTCAGATGTCGGAGGTCTTTTGAACTTGGGAAAAGAAAGCCTTGGGCCCGGGTGCAAGCTAAGCTGAGCTGAGGCAAGCAAGCACGTAGCCATAAAGACTCGATAAGCCAGTAAACAAAAATATGAAACAAACAAACACGAAGCCTCCGATTCAACCTATTGAGCTTGATTCACGAAATTGATGGAATCGCTCGCCGTCATTGATGTCATATCCTCTTATCGAGGTGGCTCACCAAATCCAAGCTGCGGAGACTGATCCATCTGGGCGTACGATAGGTTCGTCCACCTGGCCGCACTGGCCGCTGCAGGCCACTTGGTGGGGTCGACCTCTTTTGGGTTGAAGCTGTATCTGTTCTGGGGGGTTGTTTTAAAGGAGACCCAAAGAAAGGGAATGCATTCCATTCGGGGGGCCAGCCTGCCCAAGCGTAAATTACCCGTTGGGAATGCTGGCTGTGGTGAAGCAAATGCACTTTGGGGCTGGGGTTGCTGTGACCTGAAATGGCGGGACTCAGTCTTTCTTTGTTTGCCCTTGTCTTGCAATGCGTCTTTCTTTGTTGTCTCCCCGTCCCTTTTACGGCACACCCCCTGGTGGAATGCAGGTCTCTGTTTGAACCTTCCAAGTCCTAAGGACATCTGCCGGTTGAAAGGGGGCCATGCCTAAGAATGGACCAAAAAGGGGAAGACCCAAGGTCAAACGGTCGACTTTGGGCAAGTGAGGCAAACAACTGAGACCCGAGCTGACTGTGGTTCTACTAGCCCTGGGGAGAAAAAGGGAAGGCTTGAAACCGCAAAAAAGTGAAAGAGAACTGCCTGATGTTGGGCGCTCAACTGAGCACCGGGGGTGGGGGGGGGGGGGCTTCGAAACAAATGGGTGTCTTAACATAGGCGATCACCCAAAATGACTGGTTTCCCTTTAAAACCGCTCCAAGAGGGGTATGAAAAGGCACACCCGAATCCGTGCAAAGCGCAATGCCCAAAGCTACAGGGACCTTCAAGCCGGAACCGATCCGTGGGTCTTAGCAACACCCACGCGGCCTTGAGCATGCTCACGCGATCAGGCCCCACCTCGGACTGAGACTGTGGGCGGATCAAGTTTGGACCAGTTCCCCTAATTCCCAAACCGGACATCGGACCTTTAGGTGAGCTTATGGTCTGATCAACTCCCGGGCTTCGGATTTGCCTCCTGGGGCATCACATTGCCAATGGAGGTGTCTACAAGATAGCAAATTCAAAGGCTCTCTCCGGCTTGGAGGAAACCACGCCGCGTCACCAGTGTCAACCCCTAACACTTGCTTTGCAAGAGACACAAAACAACCCGCAACAATTGAAGACTCATGATCAAGAGCAGGAAGATGCAGGAAAGCCTGGTCTAGATTTTCCTGATGGTCTATGTCAGTTGAGAAGCGCGAAGCGCTCACCCCCCCCCCCTCCCCACACACCACCGGAAAAAGGTACTGGGTGGTTATACTATCGGGTTTGATTGGAGTTGTAGCAAGGCCTACATAAATCTTTATAATCGTCATAGAACCAACTGATGATAATAATCAATATTTTTTTGTACGCTGATGAAAAAGACAGGTTTTGATTGTTTTAAGGCAAATGCAAGCAAATCTGAGCTGCCAGTGAGTATGTGTTAAAATAGGTGGTCTCCTCTTGGTTTGCCGCTGAACCAATGTAAAAGCTCAAACCGATCTGAACACGTAAACTGATGGGTGTCCCTTTGCTTTCCTCCCTAAAAAAAAACAAAAAACATCTAAGCAAGTGGTACCCTCTACAAAATCTCGCGCAGTCGCCAAGCTGCGCCCACCCACGAGATGGGGATCCCCAGCAGCTCCTGAATCCTCCAGCAGTTTGGATTTGGAGTTGCCAGCTTCTGATTCTCATGAGTGTTGTTAACAGGTCTGGGAAGACCCAAACAACGAAACACGTGCAGCTTACATTTGGACGCCAACAAAAAACCAGGTCTGGAACAAAAGCAAATAACCATCCACTGTTAGCTTGCATTTAGAATTTTCCATCTTTTCGCCAAGTAGACATGGGTTTGGAATAATAAGATCAGCCATCCATGTTGTAAACTGCGAAAATCAGACCTATAGGTCACGTAGGGAATTCCATGTAGCCCCCCATCCGTGAAAACCGTCCAAAATCCGGGTGGTGAGAGGGCTGAACACTTTGGCTCAATGGGTGGCGCGGTCAAAAGACCCCCATGTCACCTTTACGAGTTGATGGTCTTTGTGCCTTAAGGCAGTAATCATCATTACGTAGGGCTCGCTTCTTGAGTGGATTGGCCAGAAAAAGCCCAAACTTTGTTAGTTACCACTGGTCTGGCCCAAGCC